CCGAGATTCCCACACAGATACGAAATGAAAGACTAAATTCGTCGGGGAATTCGGGTTCTCCAAAGCTAGCGTATTGAATTTAATTTATCCGTTGAAATATTCGCGACATATGCACTATCGTGAAGCATATTTTATTCGATTTTCATATTTAAGTACTGTATTTATGGATGGAGCATGTGACGCTTCGAGGCTTTAATAGATTATGGATCACCTTGATCAGATTTTTTTGTTCACATTCATTCCATCATATTTTATCCGAATACTGCACACGTGTCAATCTTGGATGATAGAGAGAAAAATATTGCACAGAGTGTACTATTGTACTAACTACAAAACCCATTACATTGTAATTTAAAAATGTAGTTATGAACAAATGAAAACTTTAAAAAAGGTGAGCCAGAGGCATAAAAAGGACGAATGTTTTCTGATATAAAACAGAAATGTTTCAGAAATTAAATACAAAAACGTGAATTTATTTTGCCTTTCTGAACTGAAACTTTTGCTTGGTGCCAATCAAATTTTTAAAAAATCAGAGGAACAGGATTATTAATTTTCCAAGGGATGGAGAATAAGAGGATCAGGGTGAAGATCCTCATGACTCAATGTAATGAAGTGTAACGCAAAAATGGAATAAACCTCTCAAAAGAACTCGGAATGATAATCTAAACACCTTCGATCCCGGAACGATATTCAAACTTTTAGCAAAATATAAAAATATAAAAAACAGCGTCACTCTAAACAGAAAAATATTGCTCAACTTTTTCACACAGATGGACTCTACAACAAAATTCAAGGGACCAAAGAAACCTTTAAAGAGATAATTTTATCACAGAGAAAGCCTATAACATGAGGAGAGCCCCCTGTGGCACCAACAAAAAGAAATCGGTGTACAGAGAAAATCGCTGTAGAGAGTCCATCTGTATATGTCTTCACGTGTGATCTGATTAAGTTCAACAGATTAAATGCCCCTCGTTTCCAGAAGAAGAAGAAAAAAAGCGTCTGTTTCTAAAAAAAAAGAAAAAAAAGTTGAGGGATTTGAGGGCGAGATCAAGATGGGAAGAAGATCGTGAACGGAATAAGTAAAAACCGCTTGCGCAGTTGGGTCAACCACGTCGCCACTGGGCGTCGTGACCCTAGGGCACAAACGTCGCAATGCCCGCACGACCCGAACATCTGGGCTTGTTAAAAATCCACCACGTGCTCCTGATCAAAATATCTCGGAGGAACACCGTTTTTTTCCACAGGAGCATGCGAATGACAGATGGATCGTCAGTCGACTAGAGAGCAAATGTTGATGTACACTAAATGACCAAAAACAATTGGAAAAGCTTTTAAAATTGCTTTTTTTGGAATTGCTTTTAAAAGGTTAATTTTTTGCTGTTCAAATTAATTCTTTATGAAATTTCCGATTTTAATAAATACATTAATACCTGATGAGTCCTGGGAATGACAAAATGATCCATAAATCTTTCCTGAATATCCGAAGAATTCCAAGTGAAGTGCGGCCAGTATTAATTAAAGACGGCAAACAAAAACAACAATCCTCGAAGATGAACTTAAATACTGTTCGGCATAACCTTCCTCGTTTCTTCTCCACACTTCTCAGATGACTCTTTAATTTGATCTCTTTTTCTCAGTCTAAACCAAAACTAAACCCACTTCCCAGGAAACCCGAATAGTTTCCGGTCTCCCCCGGGAGAGAAACACAAAAAACCTTCATCGTCGTGTACTTTTACCTCTCTTTACTCCTTACCCGTACACTCCGTATTCTCTCCCTTTCTTCATTTTCGGTTGATTTGAATTTTTTCTCCTGGTTTCGAAAGAGGAGGATTAAAGGTTAAAAGAGGGACGAATGAACGCAGAACGTGGAAGGATCATTTCGTCGTCCGGGTCTTCGGCTTTGCATGTGCCCAAAGGTGGTTTCCGGGGTTCGAAAGTAGTCGATGCTCATCATGAACTCGATCTTTGGAATCTAAGGCACTCAAATCCCAAAGGTTTCGAAAATTATTTCTTTGCTCGATTACGGTATACTATATAGGCCTCATTCCCTGAAAAAAAACAAGACTTTACAAGAAGAAGCGAGCCGATATATTGTATATATATGCTCAACATTCTTTTATAGACCACAAGGTATGGCTCAAGTGTGGCATCTTTTCAAGAAAATACATCAGATTCGTACCGACTTGGATTTTAACGATGAACCAGATTCTAGAAGAGTTCTAGACAATTGCTTGAAGATTAAAATGGAAAATCAAGATTTTGCATTGCATTTTCAGTCATCAAACTCATGAGTATTCATCTGAGTGCATATAAAATTTTCTGACTATCCATTCAACGAAGGTCGTGGACCTAATTCAATTTCTATTTCAGTTTATGCATTTACACAGCCTATTTATTTCCGAAACTTGAAAATATTTTTTTTAATAAATGAATTCATCTTTTCAAAATACTGTTACTGATTCTGACACACATTAATGTAATGACAGTAGTTATTGTGGTCTACTCTTGCAAAAGTTATTCAAGTCTCCAAGGAGCTTTTTTCTTCTCATTGGTGAAATTTTTCTCAAAATAGCCGTTCCAAAAGTTCTGCGAAGTCGGCGGGACCGGGATGAGGAGTTGCAAAGACAAATTCGACGCTACACCAGAGTTCTTTCCAGAACCCGATCGAAAAGTCGCCGGAATCGTCAGGAATCTTGTGAACATTGTTCCCACCACTCCTGCAATTGTCCTCAGTGTCCAGTGAAAATCACGAAAAGCGCTGAAAATCGGTCTCGGAGCAGCAAAAGAAAGTTGTCCAAACCCAGGCGGGATAACAGACCCTCGGTCGCTGAATCGTCTTCATCTTCGAGCATCGCAGTGAAGTGCGACGAAGTTCGGGAATATTTGGACGAGCTTTCATTTCAAAAGCACGTCGGGAAAGAGGAAATCGTAGAGCAGAAATTACTGCGATCACAGGGAGGGAAGAACGAGAATAATTGCGAGATGGAGAAGAGGGAAGACAGTCCGAAACGGTGTGGCAAAAAGCCTGAGAGAGAGAAACAGTGAGCACTTGATTTCCACGGGTGGAACACGAGAAAAAAGACGGAACTTTTTCCATGTCTTCGGAAAATCCTCTGAGGGCCTTCTTTTAATGACGATTTGTTTTGTTGCTTTACAGTGATTTCAGATAGATTATCCTATGATTGATGCCGAATATTATTAATTTTTTTTACAACGAATAATACAATTTTGCTTTGACTGTACATCACCACTCCATCGATATGCATAAAATGGTGCAGTAAAATAGGTCAGAGAATTCCTGCAGTTGATTGAAGAAATAAATCGGCTTAAAATTTGAAAATTAAATGAGATGATACGCTTTTCTTGGTCAGATTGATTTTGAATTTCGGCATGGTTCATCAAAGCGGAATTAACCAAAGTTATACTGGTGCAGGTTTTTCAAAAACGACCCGAGTATTTCTAAGATGGAGTGGCAACCGTGAAAATTCAAGAAATTAAATTTTATTCAATTATTGTTATGCGTGTAATAAATTTCGTACTATTCCTCCAAGTAAGGCTAATGAAAACTTGAGATTTTTACAAGTCCATTTTTCATATCAGGTGAAATACAGCGCCAAGAAGTCATTCTTGTTTGAATCATTTGATTGAACTCGCATTTGAGAAGTAAGTTTTGCGAGCTAAAAGATGCTACTGCATGAGCTTAAAATTGGTCTACTTCTTGCTGATCCACGCCATGAAATCCACATGAACGTGCATGTCAGAAATTTAAATAATTTTGAATAGCGAACGATGTTCCACAGGGTTAATCAAGAGAAAAACCAGGATTCGCTATTGTCGAAGATTTCGAAACAATCACGGATTGCAAATGCATTGATTTCTTTCCCTGCTGCTGCCAATGCTTTCGTTAAGGCAACTCAGCAGCGAACCGCCCCGATACAACCTGCTTCTTCCAGCACTATGGAGGGAATCGATGGATTGAAAAGTATAAAATAAATATGACACAATGTTCTTTCTCAAATAAATTTCTGAATGGTCCTGCGAATTTTAGCCGCAGTTATCCTGCATAAGTTGAACGGAGATCGACGTGGTCTCGAACAGAAGGCTGAGGCTGAAGTGATTGCAAAACTTCAGGTACTTTCCCTTCGTCATTTTTTTTTTCTTGAGAAAACGATTAAAGTCCACGTCCCAATCTAAAACATTTTCACAAATTCAGTTGTAATTCGAATGAAATTTTCAGACGTCAAGCAATTTCTTTTCATACAGAGGAAAATTAATCTCGAGAAAATGGTTATTCTCACGCATTCCGCATATTTTACCAAACTTTTATGATTGCCTGTGAAAATGTACAGATGTCACCCGCATTTTACTGATCCGTTCTGTCAAGAGTTAGTTTCAGCTCTGTGTAGTTATTCTAGTGTAGGTCATAGGGCAGATTAGTTTATCCTTTATTTATGAGGTTTATTTTTGAATTTTATGATCCAGAGGCACTTGGTTTCAATTAAAGAGGACAATTTTGATATTCAAGTTAGAATGAAAAACAAGTTAATGTTATTTCTCATAGTGCGCATCAATCGGATCCTGAACTCTTGACAATATGATTTAATTGTAGAATTGAAATTATGGCAAAGAATTTTAATTTTAAACCTTGTCTTTAAAGTTCTTGTCTTGATTATATTGTATATGAATGAACAGAACACTTTATTTGCCGCTTTTCAGCATTCACAAGGTACAATCAAGATTTCCACATCCAAACCCCCTCCCCACCCAACCCAAATCCCCTCAAAGACATTTAATCACTTCAAAGCAGGAAACAAAGCACAAATTGATGAAAAAATAAAAGAAAATACAATCTACAAAATAAAACTGGACATCTGACATGTATGCATACACCCATATATACACTATTCTGATTATATTTAACAATTCTGAAAATATTTTCTACTGAAGGGCATTTCATTAGAGCACCATTCGTTGCCGAGGGTGAGAACAGGCAGGGAGTCTAATCAGCAGCAGCACAACTCGACCCGGAAGCAGAACAACAACAACCCTACTTCCGGACTTCCGCAGCAGCAAGCACGTCCGTCCACTTCAGCGTCCAGGCGTCAGCAAGGATCTGCGACGACCCAGCAGCAGAAAGTGCTGAAGTATAAATCAATTCCCACGAATTTCCATACCACTCATCAAAATCCCAAAAGTGTTGATTTCCGCGGACATGTGAGTGGGATGCGAACCTTTCAGCTACAATTGTTTCGAATACAGCATCTGTATACGAGTAGAGATCTTGGAAAAATCAAACGAAAATGATCTGAAATGAATTTCTCATGTTACCCTTTGAAAACTGGAAAACGATCACACCTGAATTTTTCGTAAATGGAAAGAACGCTTTCAGATTTTTACCAATGCTGCAGAGATGCCCCAAAAAATTTCATGAAATTGCAAGACCTTCCCAGAAACTCAGACGCTGTGACTATAAAGACACAATTTAAAACAAATGTAAGAGGCCATTGATTATCGCATAACTTTTTCTTCAACTTCGATAATCCTCGTACATTTATTCGCTCGATTACGAGGCACTATAGTAAGCTTCAAACGTTTCTACTCATAAAATTTCCATCAAAAAGTTGGTGCGGCCTTTGCGCAAAATAATGCTGTGTTCCTGCACAGACTCATTAATTAGAAGAGTTTAACTTATATTCTAAATAATGCCTCTGATTCATACTGACAAATTTTCCACCTTCAAAAAATAAATCTCAAAGTTTTAAAGTTGGGAATGAGCCAGAATATTCGAATTACCAACAATTTCATCCTTATACGAGTAGATTTTCGCATTTTCAAGTATATCCGGGAAAGTTAAATCAATTATTAGCCTTGATAATTGAAATTGTGGTTATTACCAGATAATATATACAAAAATTGATACTTCAGAAATTTTCTTCAATAGATCAAATACAGTAGAATCTCATTACAACGAATCTCGTTTTAACGAATTTTTGCCTACAACGAATTTTTTTCAAAGTCCTGGCAGTTATCCTTAAGGAACAGCCCAAATTAATCTCATTATAACGAATTTCTTTTCTAAAGTCTCTCTGGTTATAGCGAATTTTCCCCGAAATTTTTAACATTTTTAATTCAATTTTAAGATTTTTTTTGTCCCAAATGTCCAAAGTTTTGGTCCCCAATTCTTTTATGATAACATCCTGAGGCTCATCATCCAAATAGCGGGCAGGAAATGTGTCTGCAGCAGAATCATGCACTCAAAAATACAGGAAGCTAGAAATGGGTTACATTAGGTGACTGGCAGGAAGCCCATAAAATAAATGTATCCTGATTAATCTTAAGTCCAACGTCTCAGGAGTGTGTAAGCACAGTGCCTCGCTAGCCACCAAAATCTGCGATAATCTGTTCCTTTTCCAATGCTCTTTTGTGGTGAGTTCTTTTACCAATTTGAATTAATTTTCAAATGTAACCATTTTGTAAAAGATATTTATTGGTACAGATATTGCAGAGAAAAATATAACTGCAGTTCTTTAGACAATAAAAGGCTTCTACAGATGATGAAATGTACACTTCTGTTAATAAATCCAGCAATCTCGATATAACGAATTTTTGTTTACAACGAATTTTTTACAGTCCCTGGGAGGTCGTTGTAATGAGATTCTACTGGTACTTGAAAAATAATCTTCTCAAAATCCCGTTTTTTAAAACTTTTCTTGTAAAATAATTCAAACAATGCACTTTTAAAAATTACCCAGTTTGTGACTTAAATTCTGAAGGCTGATTCCATGTTATTATTTTTATGCCTCAGAAAATTTGGAAAAATTTCATTTCTTCTTCAAATAAAAGGTTCCAAATGAATTACAATAATGTGGCAATAAGATAATTTAATGCCTCAAAAAAGGATTATGAAATTTAGGTTAAAATTCACCTTCGCCAATGCTGTATACTGCTGTACAGTATTTGATAATTTTTATTTATTTTTATTTGTTTTGTTTTTAGGTGCCAGGGTATCAGAATATGAACCCGTCCACCCTGGCAGAGCACAAGGCCGCCAACACAGTGACTTTGCATCAGTTGCCCGTGGCGGCGACCGAAGACTTCATCGCGACCTCAGCAGGGCCGTCTTCCAGGGTCAAGTCAAAGGACGGCGCCGGTCTTCAGCCCGCCGGCTCACACATGCTCAAGCCGAAGGCGTCGGAAATGCCGTCGCCGTTTTACAAGAAACGAGCTGCAGGGCCGATCGATTCTAGGAACTTTTTCCCCGACACTGACGAGATTGCCGAGGAGATCCGCAGCTATGGGCCGATCGGCGTCAAGCGAGACGGCAAGGGTCATCGGGAATNGGAAAGAACGCTTTCAGATTTTTACCAATGCTGCAGAGATGCCCCAAAAAATTTCATGAAATTGCAAGACCTTCCCAGAAACTCAGACGCTGTGACTATAAAGACACAATTTAAAACAAATGTAAGAGGCCATTGATTATCGCATAACTTTTTCTTCAACTTCGATAATCCTCGTACATTTATTCGCTCGATTACGAGGCACTATAGTAAGCTTCAAACGTTTCTACTCATAAAATTTCCATCAAAAAGCTGGTGCGGCCTTTGCGCAAAATAATGCTGTTTTCGTGCACAGACTCATTAATTATAAGAGTTTAACTTATATTCTAAATAATGCCTCTGATTCATACTGAAAAATTTTCCACCTTCAAAAAATAAATCTCTTAAGTTTTAAAGTTGGGAATGAGCCAGAATATTCGAATTACCAAAAATTTCACCCGTATACGAGTAGATTTTCGCATTTTCAAGTATACCCGGGAAAGGTAAATCAGTTATCAGCCTTGATAATTGAAATTGTGGTTACCAGAAATACAAAAATTGATACCTCGGCAATTTTCTTCAATAGATCAAATACTTGAAAAAGAATCTTCTTGAAATCCCGTTTTTAAAATTTTTCCAGTGAAATAATTCAAACAACGCACTTTTAAAATATTTATCCAGTTCGTGACTTTAATTCTGAAGGCTGATTCCATGTTGTTTTTATGCCTCAGAAAATTCGGCAAAATTTCATTTCTTCTTCAAATAAAAGGTTCCGAATGAATTACAGTAATGTGGCAATAAGATGATTTAATGCCTCAAAAAAGGATTTATTATATGCAATTTAGGTTAAAATTCACCTTCGCCAATGCTGTACTGTAGAGTATTTGATCATTTTTATAAAAATAAACAAAACAAAAATCCACGGTCCCATAGTCTTATACTTGGGCAGGTGGGACCGTCTCGTGTTCCGGCGGTTGTGTCACTGAAACGTAGTCAACGGGCACCGCCGCTGGCTTCTGAAGTAGGCGACCTCAGCAGGGCCGTCTTCCAGGGTCAAGTCAAAGGACGGCGCCGGTCTTCAGCCCGCCGGCTCACACATGCTCAAGCCGAAGGCGTCGGAAATGCCGTCGCCGTTTTACAAGAAACGAGCTGCAGGGCCGATCGATTCTAGGAACTTTTTCCCCGACACTGACGAGATTGCCGAGGAGATCCGCAGCTATGGGCCGATCGGCGTCAAGCGAGACGGCAAGGGTCATCGGGAATTTTACATTCACAATCAAGAGCCGCCTGCTGAAACTAAGGTTCGATCGTCTATATTCCTGCTGTCGGGCGAGAAAAGGCAAATTTAAAATTTTCTTTATCAGAAGTTCTTTTTTTTACGGAGAGAGCAACCTATACATGAGAACATGAGGATGTTTTGCAGAAAATGTTCCTGCAAGGATAACCCGAGTAAATTATTATAAATCTAGAAATGATTTTGGAGAAGCACACTAGCTACACGGAAATTAATGAAAATTGCCTCAGAAAAGTTGGATTACATCTTAAAGACCAGGATATGATTTTTTGTAATTTTTAGATGGAAAAAATGGTCGAAATTAATTATTCATGCATATTTGTATATCCTGTGACGTATTTCGTATTAATACATATGTAATGAATTCTTTTTGATTGGCTGGGATGTATTGAATGGATGTGTTGGGGGATGTAAGAAAATTTTGTGAACCTTGTGAATGCGAGGAAGTGTCAAATACAGCTTTGAAACGGTGAGACCCTCTGTGACAAACGGATGCCCAAAAATATGCATGATTCAACTTAAGGACACTTGAAAAAATTTAAAAACTGCCCCAACATCCAGGCAGTGTCTCAGCCTACAGACATTTCTAGAAACATTGAAAATTTAATAAAAACGTTCAAAAACGTAGAGTTTGTATAACTCAAAGAAAAATAAGTGTTTTTAATCTTCACTTAAATTAATATTCAAAATAGTATAAATATTAGTTATTATCCAACTAAAATATAAAACAAAAAAGTATGGTTTGTGGTTTAAAGTGTTGTTTTATCTGGGTCTCTGTCGATTTTAATACGAATTCTTCCAATTTTGCATAATTGCCACCTCAAAAAAACTTTTCAAAAAGAGCCTCATTTTACTCATTGTTATTTTTTTTAATGGGGTTGTATATCATCAAGAGTTCAGTATTATAGTGTATGAGCCGTAATTAAATAAGCCCTTCAATAAATCCCCCAAAAATGGCATTTGTTATGTGTCCCACTCCAAGACTCATGAATGCCACTAGCTATATGATATGGTAAAGGACGCTTTCTTTTGCTAATTCGAATTCCCAACCCTGCATGTTAAGCAATACTGATACTATAATTGTGAAGTTCAAGACACAGCAGCGCAATATTCTTCATTTAAAAAGCTGTGAACAGAAAATACAGTCTACATATTTGCATAAAATATGCCCGTAGAACCCTCTGGCACATCTGGCAACCGATGACGACACCGGAGCTCTGTGCTATCAAGATGGCGGCGCCCCTGTCGGCGGTGCGCACGCGATGATCCGCCAGCAGCGGCGTCGGCGCCACGACAAATCCGAGTCACACACCGCCACTGGGAGCCGCCAGCATTCTGGCTCTCACACAGGCGCCGCTTTAAGTAATTGTCAGCATGAACTGGATGAAAACGACGGCGACAGGCATTCGTACCCTGACGAGCAATTCAAAGAAGCTCTAGACTTGCCACCTATGAACCCGGGATCATCTTCGTCGTCGTATAGCATTGAAGGCGCCGAAGCAACGAGATTTGACGAAGACAATTGGGAGGAAGATACGAGAAGGCATCGAAGTCGTGACGAAGGAGGTCTGCCAATTTAAAGTCGAGAATTGAAATTCAGTTTCTAAATTCAAAAGATATATTGCGAGATATGAATGAATCGTCCGGAATTATCTCGAGTTTCCCCAGCGCAGGGAATTCTTAAACCTCTGAGAAATAATTGGCAAAAACGGACGGAAAGTCTCCGATTATGGATTGAAAACGGAAATTTTCGAATTAGGATGAATAAATCAGTCGTCATTTACGTGAAACAATTTTTTCTGGGAAACCCGCCAAATTTTAGCTATAGCTAGCAACCCGATTTGGCAAAGCGTTTGTTTTCCTACATTTTGTTACTGAAACAAAATTTATAGGAAAAATATTTCTTAAAAATCTATGACATTTCCAGGAGCGGAATTTTCAAAAGATCCCGTGCGATTCTCTTCTGGTGGACCAAAAACTGCAACCGTGAGTCATAGTTAATTCAAATAACTCATTCATTCAAAAATTGTAAAGCTTTTCTTTTAATAATTCCCATGTAGAAGAGTGTTGGACGAAATGCTGAAACGCGACAGATCCTGGCCGATTCTTGTACTGTCGTCGATGATGTCGAACCTGTTCCCCGTTCATCGACACCCCGATCAACGACAGTTAGATTCTCATTTGCGACTGACGATGACGTCAAGAAACTGCTGCGAGAGTTACGCGACGAACCGGAAACGGATAATCCCGCGGATTTGGCACGTGGTGACGGATCAGTTGCGGAAATGCTCGAGTTGCAGGAGGGTAGCCCCGGGAATCGGAAACTGAGTCACTTACTGAGGTTTGAATTTGCTCAATTATGACCATCATCAGCAAAACTGCAACCTTTATCATGGATTTAATCTGACCGGCATGACGAACAAGTCGCAGGCGAAAGGATTATATGCGTTAATACGGTTACTTCCGTCGTGTAAATACTATGAATGCGATGCTATTGATTGGATAGTATCTTTATTTAAAGGATGCTTTTATCCAGTTATTGTGAAGCTCCTCTTGGGCTCTGATTTATCTAAAACCGTGTCAAAAGTTCGCCTCATCTTCAGAAAACCTAATGTTTACGTTCGAAACCAGATTGTATCAAAAATATGCGGTGAGCTTCATCATTTTTGCGCAATTAAATATTTCAAAAATTCAAAAAATATTTCTACATGCATTTCATTTATGGACTGATGACTACGTGCCATATCAAAATTTTACAGTTTTTCCTTCACTATATTAAGCCATCCTTTTCCAGTTTCAGTCAATCATGTTAGTTATAATCGAGCCATAAATTAAAAATAAAATAAAATAAAACTGTTAACTGCAGAATTATCCTCTATACATGTCTCAATTTCGGATGCCGTTAATGAAAAAACAAACAAGTTGTAGTAGTTTGCATTATTTTACTTCGTTATTTCACAAAAATTCATGGTAAGCCGGAAAAAAACATTAATTAATCCTTTTTCATTCGATCCGGGTGCGTATATTTAGAGATGTTGAGGTTACAGTTGACAGTTTTTCGCTTTTTTCTGTTTCAAGTCTTGGAAACCTTCATTTGTTCATGACCACTCTGTAAAAAGGCTGAAGGTGCTTTTGAAAATACCAAAATAAATATAAGAAACTGTTAGCAGTATCAATTTATGTGATGGGAAAGTTTTTTCCTGCTGCCTGTTTACTCATCATTTTAAGCCGCAGAACCTGGGCATAAAATCCTTTGATCCTCGCGAGAAAAGACGTGGCTAACTTTCCACTCGAGTTTATTTAATTGAAAAGCGCGTTTTTGCCACACTGAAGCAAATAAAACTGTGAAAGAAGAAAGGAAAACATAGTTTTTGATTTAAAAGTAAATTATAATCCGACGAACTATTCTACAATACTTTCAACGTGAACTGTTGCAATTTTTTTTGGACTCAAGTGTTCACAAAATGCTTTCAAAATCGTATTTTTGTCTGGCTGACCCTTTATTTCTTATTCAAGGTCTGCCGGAACCATGAAAAAGTGTATCTTCCTGAATATTGAATTAAATTCGGTGAGAGTTTGTTCTGAATTCAGTCGATCATGATTAGTATTTATTAGAAAAACATGTTCGAATGAGATCCGCAGATTTTCGCTCATGTCAAAGTAACCATCTTCTTCTTACGAGTCTTGCTGGGTCTTCATTTAGAGTTTTAGACCATTATGCGAATTGAGGACTCATTTTTGGTGTCGATACAATTATAGGAATGAGCATGAAAAGCTGCGAATGAAGCTTCGTTATCGACGGCTGGCCCGTGAGAAGATGAAGGAGAAACAAGCCGAGGCGTCGACCGAATTCAGCTCAACGTCCGTCGAACTTCATCAAGTCACTTCCGAGGATATCGCTATTGAATTGGGCAAATTTTCCGCAGAGAATGTTCCGGAAAATGATCTTAATGAGAACGACGCGGGCGAGGAGGAGTCTAATGATTTCGGTGGTTCAGTAAGTGACCTCATTCGTGAAATCTGAAACTAATGCCATGTACAGTGGCCCGGAAAATTGCGGATTGCTTTCCCAATAACGACTGATGCAGTACAGGTACACGATTTCAAATATTTTTGTACGTCGCAATTCCGACCGTAAGTTTGGTTTGATAGTCTGTAGACCCGCATATATTTAACGATTTTATACTGTTTTATTCCTGTTTTTTTACGACTACAGTTTTCGAATGACATCAATATAAAGCTGTCAAACTGGAGATAAGAGCTCATTCAAATTTCTATGTCTCAAAGACTGCGAATTTAAATTTGAGATTTAAAAAAATTTAATAGATTAAAAAATTAATCTAAAAAACCACATTTTCAAAAAGCAAAAAATAACCTTAAACGTGGTGTGCATCTAATTATTTTTGCAAGTTTTTGCATCTCAAACATATTGAGTTTCTTTTTATTCACAAAAATTAGAAGTGAATTTAATTATAAGTTTTATCATATTTATAATCAATAATAGGTTGATTTTATATTTTGTTTGAAGTATGGTTTGTGGTTTAAAGTGTTGTTTTATCTGGGTCTCTATCGATTTTAATACGAATTCTTCCAATTTTGCATAATTGCCACCTCAAAAAATTTTTTTTAAAAGAGCCTCATTTTACTCATTGTTATTTTTTTTAATGGGGTTGTATATCATCAAGAGTTCAGTATTAGTGTATGAGCCGTAAATAAGCCCTTCAATAAATCCCCCAAAAATGGTATTTGTTATGTGTCCCACTCCAAGACTCATGAATGCCACTAGCTATATGATATGGTAAAGGACGCTTTCTTTTGCTAATTCGAACTCCCAACCCTGCATGTTAAGCAACACTGATACTATAATTGTGAAGTTGAAGACACAGCAGCGCAATATTCTTCATTTAAAAAGCTGTGGACAGAAAATACAGTCTACATATTTGCGTAAAATATGCCCGTAGAACCCTCTGGCACATCTGGCAACCGATGACGACACCGGAGCTCTGTGCTACCAAGATGGCGGCGCCCCTGTCGGCGGTGCGCACGCGATGATCCGCCAGCAGCGGCGTCGGCGCCACGACAAATCCGAGTCACACACCGCCACTGGGAGCCGCCAGCATTCTGGCTCTCACACAGGCGCCGCTTTAAGTAATTGTCAGCATGAACTGGATGAAAACGACGGCGACACGCATTCGTACCCTGACGAGCAATTCAAAGAAGCTCTAGACTTGCCACCTATGAACCCGGGATCGTCTTCGTCGTCGTATAGCATCGAAGGGGCCGAAGCAACGAGATTTGACGAAGACAATTGGGAGGAAGATACGAGAAGGCATCGCAGTCGTGACGAAGGAGGTTTGCCAATTTAAAGTCGAGCATTGCAATTTATTTTCTAAATTCAAAAGATCTATATCGCGAAATATGAATGAATCATCCGGAATTATCTCGAGTTTCCCCAGCGCTGGGAATTTTTAAACCTCTTGAGAAATTATTGACGAAAACGGACGGGAAGTCTCCGATTATGGATTCAAAACATAAATTTGTGAATTAGGATCAATAAGTCAGTCGTCATTTACGTAAATCAATTTTTTCTGGGAAACCCGATTTGGCAAAGCGTTTGTTTTCCTAAATTTTGTTATTGAAGTAAAATTTCTACGAAAAAATTGCTCTTGAAAATCTATGACATTTCCAGGAGCGGAATTGTCAAAAGATCCCGTGCGATTCTCTTCTGGGGGACCAAAAACTGCAACCGTGAGTCATAGTTAATTCAAATAACTCATCCATTCAAAAATTGTAAAGCTTCTCTTTTATCAATTCCCAAAATCTTCTCACAACCTGCTTTACGACTTTGCGCTGTCTAGGACCGGCTAAGAACATGACAGCAGCTACTACAGCTTGGACAAGGGGCAAGTAGCTGTGGGGCTAGTTGCTGTCAATCTAAGAGTAAACCGACTGACGATGACGTCAAGAAACTGCTGCGAGAGTTACGCAACGAACCGGAAACGGATAATCCCGCGGATTTGGCACGTGGTCTGCCTAGTCAACGCCTTTACGAGCTCAACGTCCTCCCATCGGGGCCCTTAGCCTTTGACTCAGTGAATGACTCCAAACTTAAACGAGTTAATACTGGTAGTAGTCGTTTTGACGTTGGAAATAGTAAGATTTAATCTGACCGGTACGAGAAATAAGCCGCAAGCGAAATTATACATGCTCTAATACGGTTACTTCCGTGGTAAATACGAACTATGAATGCGATGCTGTTGATTGGATAATATATCTTTATTTGAAGGATGTTTCTAACCAGTTATTGTGAAGCTCCTTTTGGGCTCTGATTTATCTCAAACCGTGACAAACGTTCGCAACATCTTCAGAAAATGTAATGTTCACGTTTGAAACCAGAATGTATCAAAGAGATACGATGCGCTTTATCATTTTTACGCAATTAATTATTTCGATTATTCAGACAATATTTCTATACCTGCATTTCATTTACGATGACTGATGACTATGCGTGCTTTTTCAAAATTTTACAGTTTTTTCTTCACATACAGTATTAAGCCATCCTTTTCCAGTTTCAGTCAATCATGTTAGTTATAATCGAGCCATAAATTAAAAAATAAAAATAAAAACTGTAGCTGCACAATTAGCCTCTCATGTCTCAATTTCGGATGCCGTTAATGAAAAAAAAAAACAAGTAATAATTGTTTGCATTAATTTACTTCGTTATTTAAAAAAAATTCGTGGTAAGACGGAAAAAAGATTATTCAATCCTTTTCCAGATGCGTAGAGATGTTGAGGATACAGTTGACAGTGTTTTGCTTTTTTCTGTTTCAAGTCTTGGACACCTTATTTTGTTCATGACCACTCTGTAAAAAGGCTGAAGGTGCTTTTAAAGATAAAAAAAATAAATATAAGAAGCTGTGTGCAATATCAATTTATGTGATGGGAAAGTTTTTTCCTGCTGTCTGTTTACTCATCGTTTTAAGCCGCAGAACCTGGGCATAAAATCCTTTGATCCTCGCGAGAAACGACGTGGCTAACTTTTCACTCGAGTTTATTTATTTGAAAAGCGCGTTTTTGCCACACTGAAGCAAATAAAACCACAAAAGTAGAACGAAAAACATGGTTTTTAATTTAAAAAGTAATCATAATCCGACGAACTATTGTACAATAATTTCAACCTGAACTGCTGAAATTTTTCAGGACTCAAGTGTTCACATAATGCATTCAAAATCGTATTTTTGTCTGGCTGACCCTTTATTTCTTATTCAAGGTCTGCCGGAACCATGAAAAAGTGTATCTTCCTGAATATTGAATTAAATTCGGTGAGAGTTTGTTCTCAATTCAGTCGATCATGATTAGTATTTATTAGAAAAACAGGTTCGAATGAGATCCGCAGACTTTCGCTCATGTCAAAGTAACCATCTTCTTCTTACGAGTCTTGCTGGGTCTTCATTTAGAGTTTTAGACCATTATGCGAATTGAGGACTCATTTTTGGTGTCGATACAATTATAGGAATGAGCATGAAAAGCTGCGAATGAAGCTTCGTTATCGACGGCTGGCCCGTGAGAAGATGAAGGAGAAACAAGCCGAGGCGTCGACCGAATTCAGCTCAACGTCCGTCGAACTTCATCAAGTCACTTCCGAGGATATCGCTATTGAATTGGGCAAATTTTCCGCAGAGAATGTTCCGGAAAATGATCTTAATGAGAACGACGCGGGCGAGGAGGAGTCTAATGATTTCGGTGGTTCAGTAAGTGACCTCATTCGTGAAATCTGAAACTAATGCCATGTACAGTGGCCCGGAAAATTGCGGATTGCTTTCCCAATAACGACTGATGCAGTACAGGTACACGATTTCAAATATTTTTGTACGTCGCAATTCCGACCGTAAGTTTGGTTTGATAGTCTGTAGACCCGCATATATTTAACGATTTTATACTGTTTTATTCCTGTTTTTTTACGACTACAGTTTTCGAATGACATCAATATAAAGCTGTCAAACTGGAGATNGCAAAATTTGAGTTGCAAAATTTGATCTGGACAAACAAACGGACAAGAAAGCGAGTTAATAAAAACGTGTTAAAATGAAAGATGGCAGTATCTTGAGAATGAAATATAATAGAACAATTTTTTTTACCTACTTGCATACTGTATATACTGATCATGAGGATTTCAAACTTTAAAGGAAAATTACAGTACATATAGTTTTCGAAGCTTGGCAATTCAAATACAGTAATGCAATTCAATAACTTTTTGTGGAGGTTCATCGCGTCTGAAACTGACATTCAACAGAAAGCATATTTATTCATAAAATGTATCTGATATGTTCATAAAATATATCAATGTCATACGGTTTTTGAAGGTGTTTAATACCTTCCTTGAATTATGTGAGTGATTTCCTTCGTTACGACAGAAGCATGAAATTGAATCCAAGAACCATAAATTGAAACATTAAAACTCATCATGTGCAGATATGGACTCATCCTCGCACGAAATTTTTGCCACATCAATAAGGACGTTTTCAATTTAGGAATTTATCTGGCCTCAGCATACATTTTAATGGTGTATTTGCAAAAAAATTTTGTAGCGATCAAATTTTTTCAAGTTTTTCTCCTTCACGTGTCGTCGAACTCGTCGTACAACGAAGACAACAATCTGGTATCTGAGTGAGTGAATCTAGCAGATCGTTGCTCATTGAGATGTTCCTCGTCATACATAATTAATTTTGATTAATATAATTTATACCAGTCGAATAGTGGGATTGACAAAAGATGTGATCTCAATAACAGCCTTCTGTCCAGTTTCTGTTAAGCAGAATCGCCTGGTTTGCGAGATCACTCTATATTCGAGTTTATCGATGTATGTTCAAATCTTCAAGCTGACTGGCTAGGTGTCACTCCTTTCGTTTTCAGGTTGACCTGGAATCTCCTGCGGATCCCCTGGATGATGTCCGATCGTCGCGAGCAGCTGCTGGAACTTCGAGCCAATCGAAATCAAACGTAGACAGGAAAACCATAAAAGATTGCTGTACCCCTAGATTTTCGCAAATACAGAAACCCAAGAAGCAAATGTCGGAAGCTGTTCAGAAAGACGTTGAACGGGTCCCGGTCCAAACGCGTGGGTTCGATCCGTGTGGAGAAAGAATTGAGACTCCGAAAAATGCATTCGAGCCTGCTGAACCTGGTCTTGGTCAGTTGTGATTCTTGTGAAAAGAATGTAGAATTATTCTTACCTTCTTAATTGCATGGCTATATATATTTTTTAAATTTCAATGGAATTGTTGCTAACATTCCAGAGGATAAGATTCCGAGTTTGCCGCTGTTTTTGGTGGACCAAATAGCGACCCGAGTTTGCCAGACGGTGAATGAGCGGTTGGACAGTCTGGAAAAGCGAATGAATTGCTGTGAGTCCAATAATTAATTGAAAAATTACATTTATAATGAAGGTTCAGCACTTGAAACAAGGATTTCCCGGATATGTGAAGAGTACCAAGTTAAAAGCGTTTGTTCTACTATGGGGTTACAAATTTATCAGTGCAAGTTTATGAATATCTTCTGCTGATTCCAGGCTGACACTCCTCCCTTTTCGGAGTTCGGCGCTCTTTTTTATTTTATTTTTTACAATTTTTATCATCTGTTTGGTCAGTTAGTCGCAATTACTATCCAACACAACCTTTGACGGAGGAAAAATTAGTGCGCGAAAAGTATCGAATTCTGTTGGAAGGCGTTGCAAAATTGGTTGATAGAATTATCACATGATTGATTTTCATATGAATGTTAACTGAAACAAAAATTGAAATAAAACTGTGTTGGCTGAAAATCCAGTTGTTCAAAAGACGGCTGAGAACCCTTAAAGCAGTTTTGGCAAGATCTTCACGAAGAAGCTAGTTTATAATGTGCAATCATTTGTAGAATAGTTGTGTAATCATGCTATCATTTCAGAAGTATCCTAACGTCTTCGATGTCGAGATGAGAAGTTTCCTAAATCTTTCGTCTGTTGATCAACTTGATACGCTCTCTGTACAGGTATATACATTACTTTAAAAGTTCTTCGTAAACTGTAATATAAAGTTCGAAATTAAATCACTGTTAGGATGATTCTCATGCAACGATCCTAATTAATTTACTAGTGTTGACGATTTGTTCATGACGGGCAATCCTGTTATTGTGAGAAAACCCTTGTATTTTAAATATACATGTCGATACTCGACAGTTCCAGATCTTATTTCATTATAATATTCCAGATTACTCTGAAAAATGTTGCCGTACTCAGAAGGAAAGTGATTATAAATCCTCAATTCCTCATCATGCTGAAATCGTATGTACTGTATTCCGAATTATTGCTTTCAGTTGACCCACCGAAGCAGACGGTTTTAGAAAAGCCGAAGAAACAAAGGCCCTGCAAGTCGACGAAAGAAGAGTTCATTCCAATATCATGTCCTCTGAAAATTCCAAAGGCTTCGAAGAAGTATCGGAAAATATGTGACGACATGTGAAGGGATTCAAGTTATAGAGAAGCTGTTTTCTTCTCCCAATTCTTTGGTGATCAAAGGAACTTGACAGTATTGCTATGGCCGTTTTCATTGCCCTGTTATTTTTCTTTCGTGGAGGCCTAAAAAAGGGACGAGATTAAAGTACTGTATTTTGAAAATGGGATTTTAGTTTACTTTTCATGCCTTAAATATACAACACGAGGTTTGAAGTTAATGCATAGCCAGCCAGTTTCAAGAACCGATGCTGAATCATGATGCCTCAACTATGAGTTATCCTAGATGACTCAAAAATGACGCCAGCTTATTTTATTCCTAGATGTCGCTGCCACGCTCGCCTATCACTTCGTCAGTGTGTGTCACTTGTTCAATGCGTATTCTGTAATAGAACATATAAGCGTTCATGCTTTGTCAATCTGCTCCTGTCCTACGATGGCCTGTTGGCTGTTTCTCACGCTTTCTTTGTGTTAGGTTTTCCACTTCTTCTGCAGAAAAGAATTCCTTTCTTCCCCTTTTCTCACAGCAATTGACGTTTTGTGTCAGATTTGCGCTGTTCAAATGGAAGATATACTTCAGATCATTTGACTCACATTCAGAACTACATTGTGGGCGTCATGAAATCAGTGCAAACACTTCTAAATTTCTCATTTCTTGCATTCACAATTCTTGTGGGACTGATTTCTCCACGTGGTGAGTGATGCAACTCGTCAATAAGGAAAAAAAGGACGAAGTGTTTCTGAATTTGAAAGAAAAATATTCATGTGAAACAATCATTTTGATTTTATTTATTTTTCATCATCAATTATTGAAACAGGGAAAACGTGAATTTGAATTGAGCATATATCTTAATGTTTGCAGTGGAGTCCCACTGCGGAAGCAAGTGTTCCTTCAACACATACTGCGCCAAATCAGCAATGGGAGATGGCTGTACAAGATGTTGCTGGAATCGATTTTTGTTCATTGGGCAATGCGTGAATCCGGAAAATCCTCATTCTTGCTGGTGGTGACGATAAAAGTTGAAATTACTTTTTTCTTATACTTCGGAATTTGTTTGTGAGGAACAGCAAGGGTTTTGCATTCTTTTTAAAATCTAGAATAAATAAGGAAGTTTACTTGATGTGGCAACGGCGATTTTCTACCCACTTCGGACCTGAGTTCTCCATCCGAAGCTTGATGAGTGTTTGATGTATTTTGAAATACTGTATTAGGAAATTCATCATTTATAACCCATGTTCAAGCGATGTCATTTTAGAATTTAACTGTTCGATGAAAGAAGTAAAAAGGGCAACAAAATATCTTTCCTCATTGAATGTGTACATGATTTCGAGGAACACTAACAGAGGCCATTAAGAACATTTTTAAGCTCGGAAAACATTCAACATTTCAATTTTCGACATTTTCCTGGCGGAAAAATGATAAGTTTGTCTTATTTTCTTCTTCTGAAGTGTAGGAATGAAGACGTAATGCTAAAATTAATTCATGCACATGAAATTTGATGACGAGAACCGATGAGCAGTTTCCTGCCTGCATGACGTCCATTTCCCTGCTGTCTCTAATTTTTTTTAGAGTTGTTCAATCGCATTTTAATCCGCTTTTTGCTTGATTTAAATTTCCTTTTTCAACTCATCGTGTTAAAAAGCCCAGCTCTGCATCAACGCCGATCAGCAGGAATTCCAAGCATTCACGCTGGAAATATCATCAAACGCATACTGTACACACTAAGTTAGCTTGTTCGCTTTGGACTACTTTTTATTTTAGGCAATATGCTCCGCAATATATTGTACTTGTAAAATATGTTTTAGAAAATGAAGCAACGGAGAGTATTTTTATTGTCGTTTCTATTATCACGATGAGATGCATTCACGTGGAGTTGATCGCCTTCTCTGATGGAACGTGGGTTCATTCAAAAGGTTTTTCAGCACTGTATCGTTATTCAATTTTATTTCAGTGGAATGATTCAGACTGAAACATAGGCAATGTCCACACCAAATTTTGTTCATCTGTTTTGCAATTAAGAAAAGACTGAGTGGGTTGTTCACCTGATCACAGTTTTGAGTGAAATTTAAATCATGTCTCACAATTTTTTCTTTCTTATTTTTGGCTGGTTTCTGATGGATAAAAAATATTAAGGCTTCTTTATGGTGAAATCGTAGGGATAATATTATGCATCTGAAAAGCATGTTCACGACGAGAAAAAAGTTCCGAAGTTGTGAATTTCGTTCTCGTGATGTTCAATGTTAAGGGGTTGAATTGTGATTATGATGCATTACAATGCGATTACTTAGTTTCCTGTTGAACAACATGAATTCCCCCTTCTGCTTTTTCAAGACCACTCAGTAATTTCTTTAATCCCTCATGTCTTAGATTTTGATTCATTTCTCAACTTGGGCATGATTTACGTTTCCAAAACCCAATCTTCCTTTGCAAAGTACCAATTGTTTGGCAAAAAGTCCTTCAGGTCCGACACGCAGTTGCAGAAAAGGTATGGCGTTAAATAAAATGAAAGGTTGCTTTTAGCCTTTTTTGTAGAGTATTCAGAAATTTGCGCACCCCGAAAGAAAATACAATACTGTACAATATAATACACGATTACACACACACCCTCTCTCTCTTTTCAATTATCTTGTTTACATTGATTTTCTCTGTACAACGATTTTTGTGGTCTCACAGCAGGGGTTTCTCCCCCAAGTTATAGGGGTACTCCACAATTCTGCAAAAAAATTCTCTCTGCAACGAAATTCGGTCACTTGAAAATTATTTTATAGAGAGAGTTGACCTCTATTTTTTTGTGCAACACAGACGAAAACTTTTAAGCACCCCTCATCGTCCCTCTGTTGCGTTGGCTCTTACATTTAGCGAATGAAGGCTAAAACGGCAGATTGAAACGAATAAAAAAAAAAACTCTACAAAATAAAAAGCTTGGGTGGAGGAACTCTAGTCTAGGCAATCTGCTTCAATCCATTGGTTATTAGCTCAGCTTGAGCCCAGTCAGGAACATTGCCCTCGCAGACTCCAATTCAAGCCCCCCCATTGAAATTATACGCGCAGCTCGACCGCAAAAGGGTATTGCCCTCATTCCAAGTTGAGCTCCATTACCTTCTTCTGTTCTTCCGGAGCTTCATCAGCATCTCTGGTGTGTGGGTGTCACGTTTTCAAGCCCCTAGCTGATTTACTACACATTCAAAAGACGGATTTCGATGAACAACAACAGCAAAAAAAAAGGAAAGAAGGTTCGCGGTCAAGTTTTACTCGGATGCTGGACCCGGATCCGAAACCTGCGCCGTTTATAATAAGAAGCCGTGAAGAGAATTGAGTTCCGGACAGGTAATGCATCAAGATGATGATGCAAACCCCGAGATGATTTTGAAACGAAAAAAGGGATGATCATGGCACTATTCAAAATCATCTACTGTAAGTGAAGGCGAATTACCATTTATTTTGCTGCAGGACAGGTAATGCATCAAGATGATGATGCAAACCCCGAGATGATTTTGAAACGAAAAAAGGGATGATCATGGCACTATTCAAAATCATCTACTGTAAGTGAAGGCGAATTACCATTTATTTTGCTGCCAAGGGATGAAAGAGGAAGTATCAATCTTGTCTCCTTTTTTAGCGGAAATGCCGAGGGTGGACCAACCAATAATGAATTGAAATTTAAACGGCCGCATCTCCTGAAAGTTTTGAAATATTAAATTTTGTGTAGCGTGAATTCGAAGGTTATTTTATTTGCTGGAATCATCTTTTGAAAAAAAAATACTGCATTTTGAAGAGATGGTTTTTATTGCATTGGTATGATTAGGGCATCCATTCTAGACGTATTTTTACGGAGAAAAAATTTGAAGATATTTAAAAAAGGCGTTGAAGCAGTTCGTATAGTAAAGCAGTGTTCCCGAACCTGTGGTCTGCAGATTGGCACTGGTCTGCAAACGTTTTCTGCCAGTATAAATGCTCTAGATTTCGAAAATTTTCAGCATAATAGATTTATCAAAAGTTGGGATGAAGTCTGTTCTCTTTAGCTAAAATGTTGTAAGATCAGTGGCAGTTGAATTGTGTGATGTGAACAAAAGTTGGCTTTCCTCCTATTAACACTTCAGAGAAATTGTCACCTGCTGAAATCAACTATTTTAATTTTTCATTCTGAGAAGCCTTTCTCCAAGCCCACCTTTTTTATTGTTTAACATTTACATTCTTAACCAAGTTATTTTTATTGTAAATATCTGCCGAATAACATTCAAGCAAAACTTTGGTGAGTCTGAACAACATTTATAAAACTTTGCCGGGGTGAGTAGAAAATGTTTTTGGAATTTTCCAGTCTGCAAAAATGTTTGGAATTTTTCAGTCTACAGACAATTTTTTGGGAATTTGCTGGTTTGCAAAAATGTTTTTGAACTTTCCTGGTCTGCAGGCCCAAAAATGTTGGGGAACACTGGTTCAAAGTGTCTTTCCAAATGTCAGTTTTGAAAAACTTGGCCATTGCTTGGGGTTATATTTTATGCTCACCTAAGAATGCTTCGAACATTTTCTGCAAACTATCGTCAAGTAAGACAAACGGCAGAAGAAAGATTTCGGTGTTGGCAGGATTTATTTATTTTCTTTCTCGCAGCACGGCGCATTCTATTACTGATAAAATTTTTATGATTCTGCTTCTGATTTCATTCACTTTTCCAAACTTATGAATCAATGAATGCTGAAATTTTTTCAATGAAAACGTTTCGGCGTATTTTTTCACATTTTCCGAAAGCAAGAAGAATTGATAAAATAAAGTTGAATTATGCTATCACTGAAAACTTCAGTTTTCTCTTTGCTATCCTGTGGAAAGAGGAAGAAAGCATTGCTCCCTCAACAACCATCTAGTCTACAACGATTTTTTCTGCGTAAATAATTCTTCCGATTCCATAAGGTTCTCTATAGTTCCTAATGTCTTACGTGTTCTCTACAACAAGTTCTCTCTACAGCAAAATTTTATGATCCCTTGAATTTTGTTTGAGAGAGAGAGCCGACCAATACAATGCAAGGCTGAAGAATCCCACCATCGATGTGCAACTGGAAAACCTTATATAAGACCCACGTGAACCCTGAGAACAAGATACTTCATATTTCTGTGTTTATTAAATTCCATGAGTCATGGAAGATAATAATGGAACATAATTTCTCTTAT